CCACCCCTGAAATTCCATGCAGTTAAAAATATGCTAGAGACTCGCATTGTCCCCAGTGCTTTGACTGCCACGTGGCTGCTCTTGTGAGATAAACAAGTCTGGATGTGATTAGAACAGTTTTAAGCTCATTTTACTGCAGCAGTATTGAGTTGGGGCTGACAGTTCTGGAAGCCGAAGTCTTTTTTATATCCACATTTCAAGCATTTTTGTTCTAAAAGTAGCTTTGGTATTCTTCCTCCAACATTAACCGCCCTGCTCCCCCCCTCCCCAAAAAGCATCAGTGCTCAGATCCAAATAATTCACTTGATTCTTGGTCACTTAGCTTTCTTTTAACCCTGTTGGGCAGTGATGGAGAATCTGTAACTCTCCAAATGTTGGACTCCAGTTTCCATCAGCTGCAGCCAGCATGTTCAGGGATAACGGTGTGTGTGTGTGTGTGTGTGTGTGTGTGTGTGTGTGGCTTTTGACTTCATGTCAACTTTTGGCCAGAGGTGCTATCCTGAATGGGTTATTGATCCACTTTCATGAGAATGATTTGGTCAAAGGGATGGGCCTCATAAAGTTCAGAAGGCATTGGAGCAGCTATCTTCCTGGGTGCCAAGAGTTCATAATTGTCTGATCTGAGATATGACAGATGGGGCTCTGGAAAGGGCTTGTTGTTGCTTGGTAGTGGATCTTAAAAGTAAAGGCAGGGTCAGCAAACTTTTTCAGCAGGGTGCCAGTCCGCTGTCCCTCAAACCTTGTGGGGGGCTGGACTATATTTTTTTGGGGGGTGAATGAATGAATTCCTATGCCCCACAAATAACCCAGAGATGCATTTTAAATAAAAGGACACATTCTACTCATGTAAAAACATGCTGATTCCTGGACTGTCCACAGGCCAGATTTAGAAGGTGATTGGGCCTGATCCGGCCCCTGGGTCTAGTTTGTCTACCCATGGGTAAAAGTAAAGGACCCCTGACAGCTAAGTCCAGTCGCAAACGACTCTGGGGTTGCGGCACTCATCTTGCTTTACTGGCTGAGGGAACCAACATTTGTCCTCAGACAGTTTTTCCGGGTCATGTGGCCAGTATGACTAAGCCGCTTCTGGTGAAACGAGAGCAGCGCTCAGAAACACCATTTACCTTCCCGCCGGAGTGGTACCTATTTATCTACTTGCACTTTGACGTGCTTTTGAACTGTTAGGTTGGCAGGAGCAGGGACTGAGCAGTGGGAGCTCCCCTCGTCATGGGGATTCGAGCCTCCAACCTTTCGGTCGGCAAGCCCAAGGCTCACCACAGCGAATAGTGGATCTTATTTCGCACATTATAGAATTTGACTGTCTATTCCTCCTTCCCACAGGTGACAATTGTTTGTCTTTTTAGGGGAAGGTGTGATCTCTTTATTACCAATCTAAGGGCTTTTTGATCTGGTAGTCAGCAGATGAGCAGAGTCACACTTAAGGCACATAGCTCCCCCCAGAGAATCCTGGGAATTTTTGTTGTTAAGGGTGCTGGGGATTGTAGCTTTGTTGGGCAGGAACTACAATTCCCAGGATTCTCTTGGAGGAGTGAGTTGGTTGGTTCAAATGTATGGTATGCATCCTAACTGAGTTTATGCTGACTCCATTGTGGGCAGGGCAGTGGATGGGTTAGGTTGGCTGCCTTGGTGAGCACTCAAGGGCACAGTGAATGTAGATTCAGACTTCCCATTCATTGCTGATTGGTTCAAGGAGAAACAGGAGGGAGAGCAGATTATAGGAGCCAGGAGTTTCAACCCCCCAAACGCTGAGCAATGGGGGAGATGTAGCTCTTGGAGGTTCCCCCACCACCAAATTTGGTAAGTGAACAGGAAGTTCAGTGAAAGGCACTGTTTTCTTCCAGCGAATGTGTAAAGGCTAGTGAACATTGATTGTGCTCCAATAATCATGACGATTATGCCGACTTGGGTGAAGCCCATTAAAACATGTGTTGTTCATCAGTGCTCAGATTGTTGGAAGAAAGTTTGCAGAGGCCGTAAATTAAATCCATAAACTCTGTCCCTAGGCTCCCTGCTAGTTAACCAATTCATACCACTTAGGCTTTCAGAGCAGTAGGGAAAGCAGCTCTTCTGCCCCACCCACTTCTGGAATTCAGACTCTTTTTTTTTAGAAGAAACTGTCTACTTTAGGGAAAGGCCACTTTCAAATGGGTTTGTATTTCAGTCGTCTTTATTTTATTATTCATATCTACAGTGTCATAAAAATGTATCGACATAGTGCACAATGTATTAGAATATAATCAACAAAGAGCACCACCAAAGGCTAATAATACAATATAATATAATTATAATATAATATAATATAATAATATATTATAATATAATATATCCATATATTATATGGATTTCTGCACCACTTGGGAAGAGAGAGTGTGTGTAATATAATATATATATAAAACCGCCACAAAAACCGACACCAGATCCAGAGGCACACAGAACGCCATCACCAATCAACCACACCAGACCCAAACCCAGACCCTCTCCACAGATAAATTACAGACACCATCCAGTTGCCAAACCATGGTGGAACCTCCGGATGCTGCACCCCCCTGCAATCCCTACACAGATCTGGCTGGCACAGGCCACAAAACCACAGCTCGCCCCTATACACGAAGCCAAGCCAGAGCCAAGTTCAAGCCAAGTTCAAGAGGTCAAGACACGAAGGCTTTAGCAACTAATCCACACCTAATGACCCACCCAAGTGGTACTCAGGATATCACTCAAGAAATCACTCCAGATATCCCTCCAGTAATTAAGGAACAAAAGAAGAAAAGGCACACTAGCCTGGGAACTTCCTCTCTGCCCAGAACATTGGAGGCTATACACCACACCTCCTCAACAGTATTTATAGGAACTCAAACACTGAGATCCTGCTCTGTTCCAGTAACAAGAAGCCGAAAGCACCAGCCTGAAGATGACGAGTGAGACCTCGTCGAAACGTCGCCTAGACACCCCAACTTTTACACGGGAAGACACCCGAGGACACCAAAACCTGCATATATATATTGTATATATATATGTGTGTGTGTGTGTGTGTGTGTGTAAGTAGTTTTAACTTTTTAAAAGAAACTTTTTTTTTCTTTTTTCATGAAAAGGATTAAATATGATGGCAGAGGTCTCTCTTCTCCCATCACTCTGCTCACTTGTGGTGCTTGTGTGGGTGAATATGTGTAAATATGTCTGAATGAGTGTTTATTACAGTGGATATGACTATCAACGTCTACTATCCCTGCCAGCTATGCTCTGTCTTCACTGTTGGAGGCAGCCCGATTCTGCATTCCAGTTACTGCAGGAGCAGAGAGAGCTGTTGAGCTCAGGTCCTGCTTGCGGGTTTCCTAGATCTGGTTGACCACTGTGACAACAGGATGCTGGACTAGATGAAGAAGAAGAGTTTGGATTTGATATCCCGCTTTATCACTACCTGAAGGAGTCTCAAAGCGGCTAACGTTCTCCTTTCCCCTCCTCCCCCACAACTAACACTCTGTGAGGTGAGTGGGCTGAGAGACTTCAGAGAAGTGTGACTAGCCCAAGGTCACCCAGCAGCTGCATGTGGAGGAGCAGGGACACGAACCCGGTTCCCCAGATTACGAGTCTACCGCTCTTAACCACTACACCACATTGGCCTGATCCAGCAGGCTCTTCTTCTGTAAATTACCCCCAGGGTTGGAGTCAGGATGCCTACAATATAAGTTGCTGAGGATCGTAAGTGGGGAGGGCAGGCCCTCCTGCCCCACTTGTGGGCACTGTGGGAAGATGGTGGACTAAATGGACCACTGGCCAGCAGGATCTCCTTATGGCTCCACTCAACTTTGGTTTTTGCTCCACCCTCTTTGTGCCTTGGCAGTACCTACCACTGGTGAGCACCCAACTCCCATGGAGTGGCAGAGCATGCTTTAATGGCGCCCGGGGCTCACCTGTGTATGTGTGTGTGTGTGCGCGCGCGCAGGGCAGAGGGTGAAAAGAGCCCATTGCATGTTAGCCCAGCCCTTGCTACCAACACCACTGGAGCGACGCTAGACCTGAGCTGCTTTGCAAGGCTGGAATGTTTGCAGCTTCACAAAGCACCACCAGGCCCTGCCCCAATTTGCAGGCCACACTTCCATAAAAAAATACAGCAAGGCAGTATACAGTGCAGAACACTGCAATTAAAAGCACTGGTGAAAGATTCAGTAAATATTGGTTGCTTTAAAAAGAAATTCGCATTGTGGAGGCCTGTCTGTATCACAAAGTTTTTGGGAGCCATCTGAAAGGAGGTGTTGAATGATTCCTACCCAAACCTCTTGGGGACACGGGTGGCGCTGTGTGTTAAACCACAGAGCCTAGGACTTGCTGATCAGAAGGTCGGTAGTTCGAATCCCCGTGACGGAGGTCCCTGCTCCTGTCAACCTAGCAGTTCGAAAGCATGTCAAAGTGCAAGTAGATAAATAGGTACTGCTCTGGCAGGAAGGTAAACGGCGTTTCTGTGCGCTGCTCTGGTTCGCCAGAAGCAGCTTGGTCATGCTGGCCACATGACCCGGAAGCTGTACATCGGTTCCCTCGGCCAATAAAGCAAGATGAGCACCGCAACCCCAGAGTTGGTCACGACTGGATCTAATGGTCAGGGGTCCCTTTACCTTTACCTTTTACCCAAACCTCTCCTGGCAAGGAGTTCCACAGGGCAGAGCTTGCCACAATAAAGGCCGAGCCCCCTAGCAGGAGAGATTGGATCGATCCAAAGCAGCAGGGGAAGCTTTCGTTAGCATCTCAGGGAGTTTTTAAAACCTGGGCATTTGCAGATTAAACTGTGCTTAAGAGGAAAGCTGCCCGGCTGGTTTAAAAGTTGGCAACCCGCAGGGGTGGTTGAATAGAATTAATTTCGGCAAAAACTGGTGTGCGCCTGTGTCGTGGTGTTCAGAGAGCCTAACTCCTAGAGGTGCGGGGGGGGGGGTTAAAACCTCCTCCACAGAACCCCTCTCTTTCTGCCTGCATGCAGCATTTGAGAGCATCATTTCAAGCCCGGCCTCCAATCGCGAACCGGTGGCCAATTCCCCTTCTTTTCCCCAGCCCAGGTTTTCTTTGCAACGCCTCCTTTGAGCCATGCAAGGGGGATTTTGTTCTCCCCCTTCCCTCCGAGCACAGTGAAAGCGGATGGCTCCAACGGCGGCTGCGATGGGAAGCTGCGGCCGGGGAGCGCAACGCACGACCATCAGCCGCGCAGGCACCGCCACGATCACCACCATCGCTGCTGCTGCTGCTGCTGCTGCTTCCTCCTCCTCCTCCTCCTCGCTCGGGCCCCGGAAGGTCCCTCGGAACAGCTTCGTGGAGGCCACGATGACCTGATTTCCCGGGGTACCGCCGCCCCCATCCTCCTCTTCCTCCACATCCTCTTCTCCAGCCTCGCCACCATTTAGATATACATCCTTTGCGCACCGGAGGCGAGCTGCGGGGTGGGGTGGGGGGTAGCCGCAGCACCGAACCCCCCTCGGTGGGAGAGGGAATGCGCGTCTGGCAAGCCGGCGAGGGGCTGCGACCAGGGAGGGGAGACCGAAAGCGAAGAAAGGCGGCGGAGGGTCCTATTATTAGCAACACCTGCTTCCGCCTCCCCCCCCCCTTCCCGCGATGTCGCTTTCACATCCAGAGCGCAGGCGATTCCCATTCTAGCTGCGGGCGCTGCGCCCTAAAGACCAATTAAAAGCATCTCAGAAGGGGGTCCAAGCGGAATGGGAACGGGTGGGTTGCTGCCTTTTGCTTTCTCCTTTCGCCTCCTTTTATCCGTATCTTTGTTAAAGTCACTTTCTCTCCTCTTCTGCCTCTCTGCAGATTCTCCCTCCCCCTCCCTTACGAAGTCTTTTGTCACTGTCTGCCTGCACGTTTCCTCCCTCTTCCCCCCGCTCCGCATTTCCTAACAATTAGTGGGTTTTTTGAGCCCTTAATTCCCCCCCCCCCAGGTTCTTAAAGTATTGGGAAAGAGAAGCGAAGAGACGCGTGTTTGTTTGCTCTTTCTCCTTTTGGAGAGACTCTGTGAGCCCCTGCCTGCCCCCACCCCAGTAGTTGGAGAAGCAGGATACAACCTTTCTTGGGGGAATGTCATCCCTCTCACCACCTGGCCCCCTTCCTAATGTCTGGAAGCGTCCCAGTAGCCACACTTAGGATTCCTCCCCCTGTGTGTCTCCCCCTCACTGTGAAAGTTGTACTATATTCTCTTGTCATTCTTCCCTGTTTCCTATCTTGTTTTTCTTGCAACCTTTGAGTCCCTTGCGAACTGAGCCGATGCTGTATTGGATAAGGTTCTTCCTTGTCCAGCTATTGCTTTCTTTTAAAGGACCTCAAGGGTTGACCCACAATCCTGGGGCCTCCTTCCTTGGGACACTAGGATCTTCTGCTGCCAAGTAAGTTCCATTTCAAAGACCACGGGAGGAGTACAAAGCCTCTGCGACGAAGTTGAATTGTTTCCTTCTGCAAGAGTTTTCATGCAAGTCTGAGCTGTTTGCCTTTCCGAAATCCAGTAGCATCAAGGGGCTCTTGCTGGCAAGTAGGGGGGTGGGGGCAGCTGCTGAAGAGGTTTTCCGGTATCTCCTTCCAATAGGGATTGGAAACTCAAAGGACATTTTCAAAACCTCCCTGCTTCACTGGGACCTGCAGAGAGCAATGGTTGGCTTTCTTTCCAGGAGCAGGTGCACCTATTTCTGGAGTGGCAGAGCTGATCTGAGCTGCCTTTCAAGATTATCGCCACCTGCAAACATTTGTCGCTTCCCCTTGCTGTGAATAGCCCAGCTGTGCAAGCTGGAAAAAAAGGAGGGAGGCTTCCCACAAGGACAAGCTGATGGGGAAATGTGTTCTCACCTCCTCCCTTCCTCCTCCTCCTCTTGCTCCTAGTGAAAGTAGCCAGAGAGCAGGTCACCCGACTTCTGCTTCCACCCTTCTCCTTTGGTTATTGCCCAAGTAGTCACCTGAGTTGCATCTCCCACTTTGGGCAGTTCTTTGATGGCTTCTCTGAGGAGAGTGAAAGTCCTGCTGGTCTTAAACTTGATTGCAGTTGCTGGGTTCGTCCTCTTCCTGGCCAAGTGCAGGCCCATCGTCGTGAAGAGTGGGGACTCCTTCCACGAAATCCACCCCAGGGCAGAAGTGTCCAACTTGACTGCCCATGCTGGAAACCCCATTCAGGATGCAGTTTTGAAAAGGCTGTCACTTCTCGAAGACATTGTCTACAGACAGCTCAATGGTAGGTGTGCACCTCCTTTTTCTCCTTCTAATCTAGAGGAACTTGCTTTCTTTTATCTGTACCTCTGCTACGGTTAGACCTGCTTTAGGCTGCAGTGCAAAGAATCTGCTGGATGATGGGGGATGAATTGGGAAGATAATGTAACTAAAGGCCAGTGTGCGTGAGATGCATGGCTAGGGCTCCAGGTTCCACCCCTGGTACCAGCTGCTTGAAAGATCAGATAGCAAGTGATGGGACAAGTTCCTATCTGAGGGCCTGGAGAGCTGCTTCCAGTCAAAGTAAACGATTCTGGGGCTATATGGACTAATAGTCCTAATGGTATAAATGCTTAGGACAACTATAAGGCATCATGGTGCATAGTTAAATTATGGAATTTGCTCCTACAAGAAGCAGTGATGGCCACCAACTTGAATGGCTTTGAAAAAGTATCAGACAAATTCATATAGGAGAAAGCTATCAGTGGTTGCTATCTCTGATGGGTATGTCCTGCTTTCACAGTCAGAGGCAGAATCATAGACTTGCAGAGCTGGAAGGGACCCTGAGATTTATATAGTCCATCTCCCTGCAATGTAGGAATATGTAGCTGTCCCATGTGGGAATCGAACTTGCAACCTTGGCATTATCAGTGCCACACTCTAACCAACTGAGCTATCCTCTCAGATAGCTGTTGTCTGTGGGCTTTCTGTGGGCATTTGGTTGGGCACTGTGAGAACAGGATGAGGAACTAGGTGGACCCCCTTTGACCCAATCCTGCAGGTTCATCTTACGTTCTTAACTTCCAATGTTTTGAGAAGAGGCTGCAGCCCAATCACAGAGCACTTGTGTTGCTTGCAAATGTTCTCAGTTCTGCCCTTGGCATATTCAGATTCAGACTTGCATCTAAATCCCTGGAGAGCCATTGGGAGTCGGTGTACATCAAGAGGTGTGGAAGCTGTGGCCTTCCAGTGATGCTGGACTGCAAGCCCCCAAGAGCCCCTGGCACCATGACAAATAGTCAGAGATGATGGGAGCTATAATCCAACATCTGGAGTCCATTATCTTCTTCACTCCTGATCTAGGTGGGCCCAATGATCTGACTTGGTAGAAGACAGCAATCTATGCTCCTATATGTTAAATCCTGCACACACTCTCTTTTCCTTTGAAGTCTGGTGAGGTCTCCCAGATGTTAACAAAGCATTCTAAGCTTGAAATAAGCAGCACATGTTCCGTGAGTTGAAGTAAGATGTGTGCTCTGAAGTGTGGTGGCTGCCTTCCTCGTATGTTTTTGTAGATACCTACTGCCTTCACTACAGTCCTGTTCCCCTCCCCACTTAAAATCATCATTGGGAGGGGGATTATCTGTACACACAGTGGTTTCGACATGTGTTATCTCTGTGCATGTGATTGTGTGAAAACCCAGCACAATTACCTACTTCTGAAGCACAGAAAGCTTTAGAGAACCTCACCAAGCTTTCAACTGCAGCCATTGTGCGCTTGCTTTTTTGATGCGGACTCCCTACAGGCAAAGTTAATGCTCACTCTTTGTTGGTAGCAAAAAGGGAGGGAGAATCTGCCAGGAGGCAACTATGTTCTATCACTTCAGCAACTTGGCAATAGAAAGGAAGCTACCCTGGAGTAAAACAGATTTACCTACCCTGGAGTAATGGCTTCCAGCATGTGTTCCTCTTCCCCAGTCCTGATAAGATAATCACTCACGTGTGATTTATGGAGCACTTTTTTGAAATGCCTGGGGCCACAGCCCTATGTACACTTAAGGAGTGGGGGTTAATCCTGAGTAATCATGTACAAGTTCTGCCTCCATTGTCCATGCAGTTTGCCTCTGAGTACTAGTTGCAGGGAATTGCAACTGAGGAGACACGGGTGGCATTGTGGTCTAAACCACTGAGCCTCTTGGGCTTGCCAATCGGAAGGTCGGTGGTTCAAATCCCTGTGATGGGGTGAGCTCCTGATGCTCTGTCCCAGCTCCTGCCAACCTAGCAGTTCGAAAGCACACCAGTGCAAGTAGATAAATAGGTACCACTGTGGCGGGAAGGTAAATGGCATTTCCATGCACTCTGGTTTGTGTCACGGTGTCCCCTTGTGCCAGAAGCGGTTTAGTCATGCTGGCCACATGACCTGGAAAGCTGTCTATGGACAAACGCCGGCTCCGGATGAGCACCACAACCCCATTGTTGCCTTTGACTGGACTTAACCGTCCAGGGGTCCTTTACCTTTTACCTGCTTGTGGGCTTCGCATGGGGGTGTCTAGTTGATCACTGTGGGAACAGCATGTTGGAGTAGATGGGTCTTTGGTTTGATCCAACAGGTTCCTCTTCTCTTAGTTATTTTATGATCTTAACCATATGCTAAGTATTTCCTCCCCATGTGTATGTGTAAATCCTGGGATAGTTATGATCCTGTCTTGGCCCCCATCCATTTCCTTTGAAACCCTCAACAAATGTCTCTGTATTAGAAAGCTGCATATGAATAATGAGGCTTTACCTCAGAAGGGAGGGGGCCAGTCTTGACTTAAGCCTGTCACTTTCCCACTTTGTAATACTGTAAATTAGATTGTCCACATTTTCAGACTAAAGTATTAAGACAGGGATGATGGCGACACTATTTCTCTGTAGAAAAACACCAGTGGGGTGTCTAGGCAGCTGTACCTCACAAGAGATGGAATTTGGAGCACACGGTCACATCACAAAGCAAACCGTGTGTTAACAATCCAGATGGAATCCAGAAAGAAAATAATAATAATGATAATGATAATAATAATAATAATAATAATAATAATAATAATAATAATAATTTATTTACAAGCCTCCCATCCGACTGGGTTACCCCAGCCACTCTGGGTGGCTTCCAGCAAATTAAAACACAATCCAAGAAATCCTTATAAGATTTTGCTGAGGAAACCAAACAAAAACAATGTATGATTTGAAGAGAAATGAACAGTGGTTTTTACCTATTTAATTCAGGCGTGGTGCATAGCAGGGAGACATTCAAACAAACATACAAAGGAAAGAGTCCCTCAGAACTACATAGCCAATCAGGGAACATGTTACCTCAGCAAGCATCATGCCACTCCGCCTGGTTGCTAAGAAACACCTCCCCCCCATCAGCTGACCTACTGAAAACTGAATTAACCATTAAGTTCCAAACTGAATGATCTCTGCTGTTCTGCATCAACAAATTGTGTAGGTCTTGTTCATGCCATTTGTCTGCTACTATAACATGAAGTTCTGTGGACGGCTTTCAGTAAATAAGTAACAAAACAGTTGAAATGCAAAGTAAGACACAATACAATTGAAAGGACTATACAACAAAATATGTCATATTTATTTTCCCCATGTGCTAGCAGGATTTTATGTGTGAAAGTTCACCACCTTTTGCATGATGCCTCCTGCTAGCTGGAGGCTGGTGTGTTAGCTCAGACTTCAGTGGTTACAGTCATGTGATCAGAGTCAACAGTACCATGCCTCAATGGAAGGCCCCGCCAGATGACTTATTTATAGAGCATTCTTTTATTCTCTTGCACAAAGCTTACACGGAGGTTACATTATATCCAGCCTTTAGTCAGCATTTGTTCGTGGGATGGTTATATCACAATGGGCATTCACTTTCATTTTATTCTGATTCACTTGTGGGGTGTTCACATGCCTTCCCAGTATTCATTCATTCTTCCCACACTTTTAAATCCATCTGGCTCCAAAGCACTGAGGGTCAGATTATTATTTGTTAAAAGTGGTTTTGTTGTACTAGGACAGACAAGTCCAACTGGTCGATTGCGATCTACAGGTAGATTGCTGGGTGTCCCAGGTCAATCGCGGGCCAATTGCATGGTCCTGGGTGATCTTGGGTGTTTCCCTTCCGCTGGCGCTAGTTCCGTCTTCCGCCGCCGCCTCAGCAGTGTACAGTGGCGTCGTTGGCATCTGGAAGTAATGTTCGCTTGAGCGCTGTGTGCGATATTCATCGTTGAATAAAAAAAAAACTCAGCAACTCTGGGTCCCCCCCCCTAAAAAATCTCAACAACTCTTGACAATGACAATGGGTAGGTCACTGCCAGTTTTATTATACTTGGAGTAGATCACAGTCGCTATAGAGATGGACGTGACTGCACTAGGGCAACCATACTGTACCAGCCAACTCCTAGGGTGCCATGGAGGCTTCAGCCCCTACAATAAAATATTTGAGGGGCTGGGCACCCACAAAGTTGATGGGCATTCCCATTCAAATGGTGTGTGGGCACTGCATCATGTGATGGATTATGTGGGGCAGGGCTTACCTGGCCCCCATAACATTTTATTCAAGTTGGTACCCCTGAGAGCAGCAGAGCCCTTCCACCCACTTAAACAGTATACCTAAAGTTCCAGTAGGCACTTGATTCTCTCTTGCCAAATACTGATAATCTGGAGGTGCCCAGAGACTGTGCAAGATCACCTACCAGTGTCTTCCATTTTAGGCTTAATATGCCTGAGCAGCACAGCATCATGGTTAGAGTGTTGGACTAGGACCTGGGAGACCTGGGTTCAAAATCCTTGTTGTTGTTGTTGCTTAGTCGTTTAGTCGTGTCCAACTCTTTGTGACCCCATGGACCAGAGCACGCCAGGCACTCCTGTCTTCCACTGCCTCCCGCAGTTTGGTCAAACTCATGCTGGTAGCTTTGCGAACACTGTCCAACCATCTCGTCCTCTGTCATCCCCTTCTCCTTGTGCCCTCCACCTTTCCCAACATCAGGGTCTTTTCCAGGGAGTCTTCTCTTCTCATGAGGTGGCCAAAGTATTGGAGCCTCAGCTTCACGATCTGTCCTTCTAGTGAAGCTTCATGATCTGTCCTTCAAAATCCTACCTGGCAGTAAATTTTGTTGGGTGACCTTGGACCAGTCACTGCCTCTCAGCCTAATGTACCTCACAGGGGCTGCAGACAAAAATCTTGCCCAACTCTTGCATTAAAATCACCCAGGAGGATAATTTTTTCCTTCTTAGGCGTCTCTGATAGGATGGTATCCAGCTGAGAGT